TTCCTCTATCTGTACAAATAGATTACCTCCAACATCATGGGCTGTTATTTTATTAAAATAAGATAAAATAAGACCTAGGTTATAATTGGCTCTCACATATGTTCGTAAACCTGATTTGTATGCCAAGTTGGAACACAACACAGTAGAATATAAAATATTCATTTGTAAGTACAGAGAAATGTTCACATGTTGGATCTTTAAAGTGAATATTAATACAGCCCGAGTATAAAGGGATTGTCTTATGAGGACACATTGAGTGGTAGAATGAGATGTGACCTTGTCTAAACAAGATTTTTAGGGGACTTAAAAACCGAAAGAACTGTGGATGTTGTAAATCAGGAACAAAAACAGAAGTTGCTGGAAAAGCTCAGCAGGTCTGGCAACATCTGTGAAGAAAAAAAAAGAGTTAATGTTTCTAGTCTGGGTTCTGAGGAAGGGTCACCCGACCTGAAATGTTAACTCTGATTTTTTTTTTTCACAGATGCTGCCAGACCTGCTGAGCTTTTCCAGCAATTTCTGTTTTTGTTCTTAGGAGACTTGACAGGGTGGATGTGGAAATGTTGTTTTCCCTTGTGGGAGAGTCTAGCATCCCAAGGTATCGTCACAGAATACAGTGATGAAATGGAATCTCTTCTCTCAGAGGGGAGTGAATCTGTGGAATTCTTTTGAGGCTGGGTCGTTAAGTATATTCAAGGCTGAAATTGACTGATTTTTGGTCAGGGAATCAAACGTTACGTGAAAAAGGCAGGAAAGAGAAGTTGAAGATTATCAGATCAACCATCATCTTATTGAATGGCAGACCAGACTGAATGGCCTACTTCTGCTCCTATGTCTTATGGCTTTATTGTCTTATCACTTACACCCATGCAAGCACATAGCTGGAGCCTTAGCATAATGTGCCATCCGAAAGATGGCACCTTTGACAGTACAATGCCCACTCAGTGCTTCACTAAAGAGCCAACTTTGATTTTTGTGCTCACAGCCTGGAGTCTGAACCTGAACCTGGGACCTGATGAATCAGAGGGATGTAGACTACAACCAAGCCACGGCTAACATGCAAACAAGGGTCTGAACCTCCACCAAACATAATGCAAATCCATGGGGCTGCCAACCACATGATGCCAACCTCACCCACAGTGGTGGCAATCAGCCATAGAATCATAGAATCCCTACAGTGTGGAAATAGGCCCTTCGACCCAACAAGTCCATACTGAACCTCAGAGCATCCCACCCAGACCCATCCCCCTATAACCCACCTAATCTACACATCCCTGAACACTACGGGCAATTTAGCATGGCCAATCCACCTAGCCTGCACATCTTTGGACTGTGGGAGGAAACCGGAGCACCCGGAGGAAACCCACGCAGACATAGGGAGAATGTGCAAACTCCACACAGACAGTTACCTGATGGTGGAATCGAACCTGGGCTCCTGATGCTGTGGGGCAGCATTGCTGACTACTGAGCCACCGTGTCACCCCATATGCAAGGCAATGTAGCCCTAGACATTTTTGTGGTAACACTAGGCATCACAAGGATTAATCTGCAGCCATTCCAGTGCCAGCCAGCGCCCCCCGCCACCCCCCACCCCCCCACAACCACCACCATCCACCACCCAATACATAACTGGGCTAATGTCACACATGTCACAGCACCAAGCTCATACCAGGGGCTGAATTATTCCGAGGTTGTACTGTTCACCACAGGAAGAAAGCTTAGTTGCAACCAATACACTGCACGTGGCCTTAACAATCTGAGGGGTGCATTTCTGCCCCACGCTGGAAGGGAATCCATCCCTCAGGAACTGCTCACTGATTGGTGGGCAGCATCTACATTGCCATCGGTGTCAGAGGAGAACGTGAACTGCAAGGAGGTTCACACACAAGCGTCATGGACACCAGAGGTGTTGGGTCCAGGGTTTCTTGGGAGCAGAGAGATTGAGCACCATAGGGAAGGGAAGGGGCAGGGGTAGGAATGAAGAGAAGGGCTTATGGTTTTTGGGTGATGCCTTTCACATGCACAATACACCCGTATCCTCCAAGGAGGCAACACCCCCTTCCTTCCTCTTTTGCACCAATTTTGTTGAGAAAACAGCCTTCCCATTCTTGCCTAATTTCAGCTACTGGTAGCAGGTAGCAGTGGAAGTGGATTGATTCATTTCCACTTGGTTGGGCCTTACCCCTCACTATAGTAGGGACTATTTCAGGGTTTGGTAGGATGGAGTGAGCAACTCACCTGGCCTACTTTATGAGGATTAATGAGATCCCATGTTGAAGAGAAACAGGCAAACTATCCCTGAAATTTATCCCACGATCAACATCACCAGAATAAACGATCTGGTCACTTAACACACTGACATCTTCTTCTACGTACTACTGTACAAAAGGCTGTGAGAGATATTCTAGCTGTATTCATTCTTCAAATGTTCCTAAACTGACTTCTTTTTTGGATTTTCAGCATCGTTTCCTGTTCAAACCATGTTCTGGTCATTTCATTCTTGATTCAATGCATCCTCAAGACTCTCAGTGTTTCTCTCAACTAACTCGTCCCTGTTATTAGTACCATTTGTCTAACATCTTTGCTCATATTCCATCTATCATGGTCAGTGCATTGAGTATAGGAGTTGGGAAGTCATGTTGCAGCTGTATAGGTTATTAATTAGGCCACTTTTGGAATACTGCATTCAGATCTGGTCTTCCTGCTAGAGGAAAGATGTTGTTAAACTCAAAAGATTACAGAAAAGATTTACAAGGACACTGCCGGGGTTGGAGGGTTTGAGCTATAAAGGGAGGTTGAATAGGCTGGGAGGCGTGGTGGCTCAGTGATTAGCACTACTGCCTTACAGCGCCAGGGACCTGGGTTCAATCCCACCCTGGAGTGACTGTCTGTGTGGAGGATGCATGTTCTCTGTGTGGGTTTCTGTCGGGTGCTCTGGTTTCCTCCCACAGTCCAAAGATGTGCAGGTTAGGTAGATTGGCCATGTTAAGTTGCCTGTAGCGTCCAGGGGTGTGTAAGTTTGGTGGATTAGACACAGGAAATGCAGGGTTACAGGGAAAAGGGTAGGGGGATGCTCTTTGGAGGGGTGGTGTGAACTTGTTGGGCCAAGCGGCCTGTTTCCACACTATTCGGATTCTATGAGGCTGGGGCTATTTTCCTTGGAATGTTGGAGGCTGAGGGGTGACTTTATAGAGACTTATAAAATCATGAGGGCATGGATAGAGTGAATAGCCAAGGTCTTTTTCACGGGTAGGGGAGTCCAAAACTAAAGGTCATTGGTTTAAGGTGAGAGGGGAAAGAATTAAAAGGGACCTAAGGGGCAACTTTTCATGCAGAGTGTGGTGTGTGTATGGAATGAGCTGCGAAAAGAGATAATGGAAGCTGGTGCAATTACAACATTTAAAAGGGATCTGGATGGGTATATGAAAAGGAATGGCTCAGAGAGATATGGATCAAATGCTAGAAAATGGCACTAGATTAATTCAGGATATCTGGTCGGCATGGAAGAGTTGGATTGGAGGGTCTGTTTCTGTGCTGTACAACTCTATGACTCTCCATCCCTGTAATATGAGGCTAAGCAAGATAAGACACATGAACTGCCAAACGTACAGGTAGAGTAGCCACTCCCCACACAGTTTGTCTCAATCTTTCAAACAGATACATGGTGCAAAATTCAAAATGAAACCGTGGTGATAACCACCATGTGCCAGTTATGTGTGATCTGACCCATTTTGCTCCTGACAGTCACCATTAACTTCAATTCACTGCAACAAATAACGATGGGACTGTGTTTAACCATGATCCTCAGACACTGATTATGCCCAGGGGAAAACAGGCCAGCAAAAGAAACCAAAATAAAACCAATGGTTCTGTTTAAAACAAAAGCAAAATACTGTGGTGCACAGAAACCTGAATTAAAAGCAGAAGAAGCTGGAAATAGACAACAGGTCAGGCAGTTCCTGTGGAGAGGGAAGTGCAGTTAACATTTCAGATCCAAACTCTTTTTCTGAAGCTTTAGTCTGTTCACCGCCATGAGCGGAGTGAGAACAAAGAAGGATAGTGAAGCAATCACATCGCCAGGAGTCAAACGTGGAGGAGGAAAGGCTGGGTTGCAGATGACCCTTGAACTACAAAACTGTGGCTTAGCGGTAGTATGCTCACTTTGAGTTAGATGGTTGCAGGTTCCTAGCCCCACCCTAGAGAATTGACCACAACATTCAGGCTGACATTCCAGTGCATTACTGAGGGAATGCTGCACTGTCGGAGATGTTACAGATACAATTGGTCTATGCAACAGTTCCAACAACACTACAAAAGCTTGACGCTATCCAGGACAAAGCAGCCCACTTGATTTGCACCCCATCTAACATCTTTGACATTTGCTCTCTCCAACATTGACGCTCTGCAACAACAGTGTGTACCTTCTAGAAGATGCACTGCAACAACTCACCAAGGCTCCTGAGACAACACCTCCTAAATCCATTACCACTTCCATCTAGAATCACAAGGGCAGCAGTTACGTGGGAACACCACTAACTGCAAGTTCCCCTCTAAGCCACTCGCCATCCAGATTTGGAAATATATCGCTATTCCCTCAATGTCATTGGATTGAAATCCTGGAATTCTCTCCCTAAAAGTAATGTGGTTGTACCTTCTCAACAAGGCTTGCAGTGTTTCAAAAAGTAGCCTGACATGAACCTGCACAAGGGCAATTAGGGATGGTAAGAAATGCTGACCAGCCAACAATGCCCATATACCATGAATGAATAAGGGAATGCAGTATGGTAGTGTCCCTATCTCTGAGGCAGAAGGACCAAGTTCAAGACCCACCAGCTCCAAATCTGTGGCTGAACTGGTTGTAAATAAAAAATATCAAAAGCAGTATAGGAAGCTATATTGGGATATGGGTTGAATGTTTATGCCTTGGTTTCAGTTTAGTTATGGTGCAAAGCAGTTTAGAAAGAAAATGAATCATACCACTTTGTTTTTGGTTTTGTTTTTAGATTGTGACAACTGGACATTCGCTGGCCCAGCATGGATTGGTCATCTTTATCATGGATGTGACTGCACTATCACGTCTAACAAGCATGGGCCCTACAAACATGGCATTCATGTAACAGCCTTCTCTGTCCCATAGACAGGGCTCGGTGGCTCGAAACAGCTGCTCATCAGCCACATCACGATACAGCGGTCCTTGGTTCCTCGGTTTCTATAGCGACGCGCCAACCTTTTTGCTTGGCCCAGTCATGGGAGGATGTTTCTCAAAGCCAAAACCAGGTGACTACCCTTTCAAATGCCTGCACTAATTGATCCTCATAACTAAGTATGTCAACATGCTGAGTAAGGGGGAGGGGGAGCTCAGAGGAATTTTAAATCTCTTTCATCCATGCTCATTGCAGCTTAGGGAGCCTTTGAAAACTTGTTTATCCTTGAGAGTACCAAATTTCCACAACAGCTTCCAACACAATCCTATTAAAGGAAAACGTTTCTCTCACTGGTCGTGAGAGCTCTCAATTCCTTAATACATTTAAAGGTGTACTGTGCTACTGACTTTATTTATTTAGGTTGATTCTCCATATAAACAATCACTCTCATCAAGACAAAAACCAATTTGGATATCTCTAAGAAGAAATCTGCAAAGTCTTAGAATCTGTACAGTACGGAAGCAAGCCATTCAGCCCACTGAGTCCAAACTGACCCTCTGAAAAACATCCCATCCAGAACCTCTCCCCCAACATTGCATTTCCCATGGCTAATCTACCTCGCCTGCACATCCCTGGACAATTTAGCATGGCCAATCCACCTAAACTGCACATCTTTGGTCTGTGCGAGGAAACCAGAGCACTTGGACAAAAAACACACAGACACAAGGAGAATGTACAAACTCCACACATACAGTCACCCAAGGGTTGAATTGAACCCAGGTCACCTGGTGCAGTGAGTCTGCAGTGCTCACCATTGAGCCACCATACTGCCCCCTTTCTGTCCTTTTTGTTTCTGCAAAATATTCTGTGTCCTTTATACCTAAATTGTAAAGACCAACAGTATACTTTGGAGAGCTGGCTAGGTGGATTTGTTAATCTGCGAAGTTCAAGGGATGCAAGCTAAGAAATTATTACTGTCTACATTGTTGGTTGAATGCTCAATGTGGTTGTCTAACATTTCACGGTGCTGACCAATTTAAAGTAAACAGATGACTGTTTCTGTTATTAAGGGGAATGGATGAATGTTTTGTGAGTAGATAAAGCCCTCATCCACTTTCTAGGCTGCAGATATGCATACAATGTGCTGACCAGGTGGAATTACTGAACTAAGCAATGCAGGCGAGCCGGTTTAACATCAGTAGAACACAAAATGCTCAGTTTATACAGTCATAGAGTCATACAGCATGGAAACAGACCCTTTAGTCCAAATTGTCCATGCCAACCAAATATCCTAAATTAACCAAGTCCCATTAGTCAACATTTAGCCCATATCCCTCTAAACGCTTCCTATTCATGTACCCATTCTCATTATTTTATAAACCTCAATAAGGTCACCTCTCAACCTCCTATGCTGCAGTGAAAATAGTCCCAGCCTATCCAGCCTCTCCTTATAACTCACATCCTCAATTCCTAGCAACATCCTGGTAAATTTCTTCTGAACCTGATATGTAGTGATAAACACATTAAATGGTGTGGTATTACAGGCCAGTTAGTCTTACGTCAGTGGTGGGCAAATTATTGGAAAGGGCTCTGAGAGACAGGATTTATGATCACTTGGAAAGGCACAGTTTGATTTGTGATAGTCAGCATGGATTTGTGAGGGGTAGATCATGCCCCACAAACCTTATTGAATTCTTTGAAGAGGTGACCAAACACGTGGATGAAGGTGGAGCAGTGGATGTGGCATACATGGATTTAAGTAAGGCGTTTGATAAGGTTCCCCATGGTAGACTCATGCAGAAAGTAAGGAGGTATGGGATAGGGGGAAATGTGGCAGATTGTATTCAGAATTGGCTGACCCTTAGAAGACAAAGGGTGGTAGTGGATGGAAAATATTCAATATGGTGCTCAGTTACGAGTGGTGTACCACAAGAATCTGTTCTGGGTCCTCTTCCATTTGTGATTTTTGTAAATGATTTGGATGAAGGAGTGGAAGGGTGGATTAGCAAGTTTGTGGATGATACGAAGGTGGGTCACGTTGTGGACAGTGCGGAGGGCTGTTCTAGGTTACAAAGGGACATTGATAGAATGCAGAGCTGGGCTGAGAAGTGGCAGATGGAGTTTAACCCTGAAAAGTGTGAGGTGATTCATTTTGGAAGGACAAACTTGAAAGCAGAATACAGGGTTAACGGAAAGATTCTTGGCAATGTGGAGGAGCAGAAGGATCTTGGGGTTCATGTTCACAGTTCCCTGAAAGCTGCCACCCAGGTGGATAGAGTTGTTGAGAAGGCGTATGGTGTGTTAGCTTTCATTAATAGAGGGATTGAGTTCAAGAGCCGTGAAGTTATGCTCCAGCTATACAAAAGCCTGGTTCGGCCACATCTGGAGTATTGTGTCCAGTTCTGGTCACCTCATTACAGGAAAGATGTGGAAGCATTAGAAAAGGTGCAGAGGAGATTTACAAGGATGTTGCCTGGAATGGAGGGAAGGTCTTACGAGGAAAGGTTGAGAGAGCTAGGGCTTTTCTCTTTAGAACGACAAAGGATGAGAGGTGACTTGATAGAGGTGTACAAAATGATCAGAGGTATAGATAGACAGCCAGAGACTTTTTCCTGGGGTGGAGGTAGCTTTTACGAGGGGACATAGTTTTAAAGTGAAAGGAGGTAGATATAGGGGAGTTGTTAGAGGTAGGTTCTTTACTCAGAGAGTGGTAGGGGCGTGGAATGCATTGCCAGAGAGGGTAGTGGAGTCAGCCTCATTAGGGGCATTTAAGCGGCTATTGGACAGGCATATGGATGATAGTATAAGGTAGGGGCGGAGGTTAGATAGACCTTAGGTTTAGGGTAAAAGTTCAGCACAACATCGTGGGCCGAAGGGCCTGTACTGTGCTGTACTAGTCTATATTCTATGTTCTATGTTCTATTAATCTTCACAAATGTCAAAGGTTTTTAGGAAGCTGTATGGGATGGTGCATCAGATACTAAAATTAACGCATCATCCTCCGAAATTTCTGCCACCTACAATCAGACCCCACCAGCAAAAAGATATTTCCCTCCCCACCCCTGTCTGCTTTCCACAGGGATCATTCTTTCCGCGACTCCCTCGTCAGCTCCACACTCCCCACCAATTCCTCCACCACACCCTGTACCTTTCAGTGCAACAGCAGGAGGTGCTACACCTGCCCCTACACCTCCCCTTTCACCTCTGTCCAAGGTCCCAAACAATCCTTCCAAATCTGGCAGAGATTCATCTGTACTTCATTGAACCTCATCTACGGTATTCGTTGCTACTCCATATCGGGGATACCAAACGCAGACTCGGGGACCGGTTTGTGGAGCATCTGTGCTCTGCTTGCACCAAGCAACCTGACCTTCTGGTTGCCATCCACTTTAACTCCCCCTCCCACTCCCCTGGTGGCATGCCCATCCTTGGCCTCCTCCATTGTCAGAGTGAGGCCAAATGTAAACTGGAGGAACAACACTTGATATTTCGCCTTGGGAGCTTACAGCCCAATGGCCTGAACATTAACTTCACCAGCTAAAAAAATCTCTCCTCCCCCAATCTGTCCATCTTCTGACTCACCTGTCCGCTCCACCCTTCCCACTGACCAACTACAATAACCCCCTACTTGCATCCACCTATCTCCATCTCACCTACCCTCCCCCAAGCCACACCCTGCCCCATTTATTTCTGTGTTCCCAGCCTGCTCCCCAGGCAGCCCGAAACGTTGACTTTCCTGCTCCTCGGATGCTGTGTGACCTGCTGTGTTTTTCCAGCTCCACGTTTATTGACTCAGGTCTGTTACCTGTTTATGCTGGCCCCTATGTGAAGTAAAACCAGTGGGGGAATGGATCAAAATTACATCAGGATCCTCTGTAGTTGGAACCTTTTCTCAACAGCTTCTGTTGGACATAGAACAGGGGTTTGGGAAAATCCCCAGTGGAATTTCGGAACCATAGTGCGTGAGAGATGTTGGCCCATTCTAACCCAGTATACAATTCTGTACCTAGGTACCTTTGTACCTAAGATGGTGCCATAAGTGGCAACTTGTAAACTTTTCACTGCACTCATGTGAGTACATGTGACAATAAAGCTAATACAGTTTAAGGTACATATGAGACAACAATACTTGGATGCAACATCCTCATGTCTCCTCAATTGTGCATCTTGACTGACAGGCACTATCCACTCAAGAATTATTCGAACACTGGGATGGGGCCAGGTTCAAGTGCCGACAGGGAAAGACTTAAGAGTGGTTGCTTTGTGCAGTAGGGATGTTGATTTAGCATCTAAAGGCATAAAATTAAGCTGGAGTCACTCATTCATTATCCAGGTGCCTACCAAAGTGTAAAGGGAGGAGAGCTGCTCAGCAAAAGCAAAGAATCTCTAAGAAGGTACTTTGAGTATTTTGAGTTATTTATTGTCACACATATCTAGAAAGATACAGTGAAAAGTGTTTTGTCACCATGGTCCGGTGATATTTTTGAATTACAGAAAGAATAAAAAGAAATTACGTAAATCGAGTTCATCCTCTGTACAAGCGGTCTTCAAACACAGCTCCAGGGCTCCTGCAAGATCCCCGCAAGATCCCCCCAGGCTTCAGGCCTTCTATAGCCAGGAGCTGACAATCCCACTGAGTCCATGCTCTGGGCCTACCGTAGACAGAAGTCCTAATATTGGGCAACGCCACCACCACAGCCAATGACCTGCTGGGCCAGCATTTATTACCTGTCCCTAGTTGCCCTTAGAAGGTGGTGGTGAGCTGCCTTCTTGAACTGCTGCAGTCCACGTGCTGTAGGTTGACCTACAATGCCCTTAGGGAGGGAATTCCAGGATTTTGAACCAGTGACAGTGAAGTAATGGCGATATATTTCCAAGTCAGGATGGTGAGTGGCTCGGAGGGGATCTTACAGGGGGTGCTGTCCCCATGGATCTGCTGCCCTTGTCCTTCTAGATGGAAGTGGTCATGGGTTTGGAAGGTACTGTCTAAGGATCTTTGGTGAATTTCTTCAGTGCATCTTGTAGATAGTACACACTGCAGCTACTGAGTGTCAGTGGTGGAGGGAGTGGATGATTGTTGATGTGGAGCCAGTCATGTGACTGCCCTATCCTGGATGGTGTTAAGTTTCTTGA